ATTCAAACTCAAGTAAATCCCCAGGGGAAAAAAATTAATTAAAGTAAAAATCTTTAGGGCCACAAAATCTTACCGCATCTCGTATTGATTTTGATACTAAAACCAACCTCTTCAAATCCTCATACTCAACTACACACAATATCCTAATCTGCATAAAAAATACTCACCATTTTAGGAACACAATTTAACGAGACATTCTTATTACATTAACAACCATAATACTTTTACTAATCAACCATAAACAGTTATATATACTTAAAATTACCCATTTAAGCATAATTTTCTACAATACTGAAAGAACTGACTCAGAAAAAGGGTACTAACCAGAACGTCCTGAGGCAGGGCTTCAAGAACAGATTCATAGCACTGTCTCTTTGTCTGTGTGGTGAGAATATAATCATTATGACCATCAAACTCCAAATTAATATTCGACAAAGCAACCCTTTGCCTCTCAAACGATGTACTCCTCACCAGTCCCACCCCATACCCTTCATTTGCTCTATTCACAATTGACTCACATTTCTTCCCCAACTCCATTTTTTGTTGCTATTCTCTCTCTTTACAAGAACAATCAGATTATCCAAAAACAAAAAAACCAGAACCCAAATTGAAATGTTCAAAAAATAGATTCCAACTAGCCAAAGACAGTCAAAAAATCTATTTCACTTCCTATAAATCCTTTCCTGGCAGAAATATATAATGATAATATATTAACGTATAACGTTCCAAAATCATTAGAATGATAATATATTAATGTACAACATTCCAAAATCATTAGAGGCAGAGAGTAAATGGAGATTGATGCAACGCTTGTAGCGTAAAAGAAAACAAGAACCGACTTCCAAACATCTTCCATCTTTATGCTTTACTGTATATCACTCTCCTTGATATACAATCAAGTTTTCTCATTTAAAAATGGCTTTTTCAAAATTATTTTTCCTTTTTGGGTTTTTTAACAAGCGAGTATCATCAGAGGCTAAAAAAATCTGCTTCGAAAAATATTTGAGATTTTCTAGAAATGACTTAAATTTTCCTATTTAAAAATGGAAAATATAGAATGTCTCTGCCGTATTCATCAGTCTGGCGGATAGGATTGCCATATTCATCTGTCTCACGAATTTCTCTGCCGTATTCGTCCTTGTACTAGGCCATTTCTTTCTCTTAATTTGCAACTCTAAAATCAACCACAACACTGTCGAATATTTTCAATAGCAATTCAACTAGCTCTTCTAACTTAAGATTTTGTGCAGTATGCGACGGATCAGATTTGAGTTTATATAGAAGAGAAAAGGTTGTTGACTCGAATGGCAATGGCAGGAGAGGCTTACAAGTGTTTGCATGAAGTAATTCAACTGACACGTTAGGGCAAATTGTAATTTAGCGTGGCAAAGTCCTATAACGACGTGCGTTTCTGTCGGCAATATGGATAAGATAAACAAATTGAAGGTTTAAAAATCATAATTTTAGTAATTTTTTTAGTTGAGTCAAATATGAGCTTTTTAATGTGTGGATAAGTTCATCGTTTGGCCCACACGCGTGATTAGAGGTGGAACCACTAGTGGGCTTGCCTCGGTCGAACTTGTTTTGTGATGAGCCATTGATCGAATCAAACACATTTTTCACAGCTGGCTGGTTCTGGATTCATGGGCGGACTCATTTTTTGGCCTTATTTCATGATCCCATGTTTTATTTAACTAAAAAAGTTGATAAAAATTTTAACGGTCATACTTCATGTACAATCGAAGTTAACAACCACACACATGGAAGGGGATCCACAATGAATAATAAAAAATTGTAAACCGTCTCCTGTAAAGAGGTTGTCCACCCCGATTGTATAACTAGCAAAATTCAAATTTTATGTAAACTCAACAATTAATTTTGACCTATTTATGAGATTGTTATCCACTTTTCAAAAATACATTTCATCAATTTTTATCTAAATTTACAACCAAAAAAAAAATATATTGACTTTCAACAAAACCAAACAGTAACTTAAATTTGTGGATATGAATTGAGCTCGAGTGTCTAAATATAGAGCCTAGTTTGTGGACATGAATTGAGCTTCAGTGTCTAAAAATCGAGCCGACTCACTTGATCCATTCGCGTGATGATTAAAATTGAATATTAACGTATTTATATATTTTTCAAATTTTTACATTTTCGATACTTTGACTTAGAACCCTTGTCAACGCTAAGTTTGAGAACAAATAACACATCAACACCATCTATCAAATTTATAATCGATATAGAAGAAGTTTGACCATTGGTGAGATGAAACGAAATGTTCGTTGGTAAGTCATACATGTTTAACTAGTTTTTTTGAACAAGTCTTACGTACTAATATGGACCAAGACATAACGCTATAACTTAAGCAAGAAAAATAAAAATTATAAATTTGTATGTTTTTCCTAATAGAAGTTAATTGCTTGTAATTATTCAAATTTGCTTGAAATCTTAATGATTAAGTTAATTTTAATTTAATAAATAGTCTTTAAAATTTATAGTTTAATTCCATTAATAACACAAGAACCAAAAATTTTAAGGAAAAGTATGGAATTCCTAAGAAGGTTTTAAATCTGATAATAAATTCAGATTGGGAATTAATTTGGCCTAGTATGTATTTAGAACAAGTTGAGTATAAGAAAGAACTAAGGGTCTGTTTGATTGTAAAGATGAATTTTGGGTGAAAAAACGAATTTCAAGAAATTGAATTGCCTAAAAATTGTTTTATTGGAAATTGTCAATTATTGTGTTTGATTGGTAGGTATTCATTTGGCTTTGTTTTATATGAAAATTGCTAATTAAAGGGATAGAATTTATTGTATTGGGGATAGAATTTGTTTCCATTGTCGAAAAAAAAAAGTCAGGAAAATCATCTATCTTTTGGTGTTCGTTTGACTTTGTTTTACATGGAAATTGTCAATTAAAGAAAAATATTTTTTTTATAGTTAGGGATAGAATTTATTTTCATTACCAAAAAAAAATAATAATAATAATAAAATTGACAGATTAGCCTAGAAAACCAAGAAAATGTCCACTTTTTATGAAAACTAATTCCATAGAAAAAAATATACTATCAAACAGTCAAAAAAATGAAAACTTGAATTTGAATTCCATTTTTCATGGAAAATAATGGTCAATCAAACATGGCCTAATTGTTACAGACTTACAGTTCAAAGACTATTGATGTGATAAAACAAATAAATAAAAGAAAAATGAAAGTTATGTGAAAGGAGCTCAATTTTATTTTTTTAAATAAATTTGAATGAAGATAGAAAAACTCTTTAATGGGTCCTCATATTATGGAGGGAAACAAATTGAATTCTGGATTCCATCTGGAAGGGTGTGGGTGTGCAATGAATATCCATTTAAATTGATTAATTTAAATATTATTTCATAGAGAAATATAAAAAACACGTGTAACAATA